GGGGAGGGAATTTTTAGGAAATAGATAACTGACCAAAAAGTCATTTAAGGTATTCGGGTGTCTAGCCATGGTCAAAAAACAAATTACTATGAAATACATCCAAGAAGACATGTAACATGAAAAATGTACAATGGATATGTGAGTGGAAAAGGAGGTGTATCTTCATCAGCCCAGGTGTAAGAAGATTAAACAAAATCATAAAAGGAAGCACAAATTTTTGATGTTCATGCTCCTCAACCCAAAAGAAACTTATTCTGATTTGTTTTAACCTAATTCCTTCTACACGAGGCTGATTCTCCAGAATTTTCCATTTCCTGTTTTGGGGGCACTGTTAGGGAAGCATTGGAGTGCTAACCCCAAGGTCAACAGTTGAAAACCACCAGTTGCTCTGCAGGAGAAAGATAAGACTGTCTGACTGCCATAAAGATTTGCTGCCTCAGGAGCCCAATATGGCCTGTTATGAATCAGATTCAACTCTATAGCAGTGGTTTGTTTTTTTCTTGCTCCGCATACATTGGCCCTGAATGAGTCCTATCACGACTCTTCTCAGATCTTTCTCTTGTTTATCTGGGAGCAAATGTGTGTAGCTGATAAGGTGCTCTATGAGAAAGACATATTATGGGAAAAGACAGTGAAGCACAAGAAACATTTCATTTACACCAAGCCAATATTTTACTCCACAATAGGTGTTTATTTGCAGTAAAATAATCACGTCAACTTTGTGATAAACATAGTAAAACTATTTACGATTTCCCTAACCACAATTTTCTTTCTGTGCCCAAGTGTTCCACATACAACACCTAAAAGTACATCAAGGATTTTACCCACAAGAGAAATAAAAAGTCATTATAATATAGTTTTATATTTATGGAGAAGACAGAACATGTAAGCTACACACAGCAAATCACCATGCTCGCTTTATTTAACGATGTGACTCAGCCCAAATGCTGGCACAGATTAATGACTAGTATCTATTTGTGCACTAAAGGAGTAAGTAAATGGTGCCATTCTTACCTATGAAGGTCAAGTTTCTGAAGGTTTCCATCATCACATCTCTGCAGAGTTTCCTCTGAGCAAGATCCAGCAAAGCCCACTCTTCCTGAGTAAAATCCACAGCCACATCCTCAATAGAAATGGTGTCCTAAAAACAACCACAGCATTTGAATCAATAAGGTAGCATGTACTACAATGTGTATGGTACATGACAGGAAAAAAACCGATAAATCAGACTTCAAGAAAATTCAAAATTTTTCGTCTGAAAAAATTATTAGACTAGAAAGATGAACCACTAAATGGAAGAAAATCATTGCAAAACGTGTCTGGGGACTTCCAGGAGGATAGCGACTGAGTAACGCATACCAGAGGTACGCCACAGAAATCAGCACAGGAGGGAAATTCTACACTATTGTATCACAGGAGGAGCATCATAAAGATAAGAAGGTACAGATCCACAAGGTTTTGAGGAGCTTGGGGCTTTTAGCTTACCACAGTGGAGACTGGCTAGGATTTGACCTTGGCCCCGCCACTGTCTTGGCTGGAGCCGGGATCTTTTGGAGCCAGCGCAGAGGTTTTATCTCAACACAGCCAATGCTTGCCGCCCCTCAGGGCAGGGATTAAACCCCTCCAACCCCACAGTCAGGGATTGGGGCTCAGCTATATTGTTACATTTGTTTCCTTCTCACAGCCCCAGCAGGCTTAGTTTTATTTTTTTATTTTTATTTTTCTCTTCCCTTTTCTCTCACATGCCACTGCTGACCTCCAGACCACTCCCCTTAGCCTAGGGCATTTTAACCTGCCCTCCACCAAGCTGGGAGTACTCCACCCTCTGCAGTATAACCCGAGACTGGGGAAAGTCTGCCCCCCCACCAGGGGATATCCCGCCCAACTTCTTCCCAGGGAAATTCCACCCACCCAACCTCTGCAGTGCTAAACACTTGGCTGGGGAAAATTACACCCACGTTCTTTGGGGGGAAATCCTGCCTGTGTGGCTGAGGGAGCTCCTGTCTGTCCTTTGTGGTCCCACGTGACTGAAGGAATTTCCTCCAACCTGCCATAGTGCCTCACTCAGCCTAAGGCAGCTAACCCAACACTCACCAACATTTCACGCTGCTACGGGAACCTCTGCCCAACCTCCGCAGCAATCTACCTGACCAGGGCAATACCACCCACCGTTTGAAGTGCTCTACACCAAATCAGGTAACGCATCAGCCTTCTGTGGCATTCCCATTGCAGTAGGCACCCCCACACACCCTCTGTGGTGCCCTAAGTTGCTGTGGGCCACACCATCACGGCTTCTTGTGAGATCATCCAGTACAGCACCATCCTTGTGGGTCCACAACAACCCAACCAGCATTCACTGAGAGGACCATCCAACTTGTCCTCCAAATAACAGAATACTGGTTGACTAGGGAAAGACTGAAGCTATAGGAGGATAAAGTAGTAGGCCAATTCCATTGTGAAATTAGCTGAAGGCAGTTCAAAGAAGCATTCCTATGAGTCTCCC